CTGAGCACTTACTATGTGCCAAGCAGGCGCTACGCTTAATGCTTTATACACATCTTGTTTCTCTATCATAAAAACCCTGTAACTTAGGTGCTATTCTGTCCTCAGTTGCAAATAGGGACATTAATCCTCAGGGGAATTGAGTGTTATTTCCAAGGTAACTCTGTAGTAAGGGGTAGGACTTGACATGTGAACCCAGGTCTCTTTGTTCTGGCCTGCAGGACTTCCTCGGCCACCCCTGGGCTTCCGTTCCTGTTACCAGTGACAGTTGCTTCTGTGAGCAGTGTCTTCCTGAATCTATTGAACAGTTCCCCTGGGGCTCCTTTCCATTCTCCCTCTTGCATAGGAGCGATGTTGCTATTTAAAGCAGAGGGCACAGTGACAGTTCTGTTCAATAGTCCTTCAGTGTCGATGCTTCTGGCAATCTTTCTGTCTGGCTGTGTTGGTCTCTGTTGGGTTCACATGGATGTGGCAGGGAGCTCCTCTGTGTCAGCCAGGTCCCCTCATCTCCGCTCCAACTCCAGGACCCCAGCCTGGAAAGACAGGTAGCCTCAGTGGGACCAGTGTCTTTGCTTCAGATTTTCCAGAGGCATTTTCCTTCCAGATCTTTGTGGGCCGTTAAAGCATGTGTAGGGATCAAGCATCAGTATCTCTAGGACTGATGGTTTAAGTCCCTGTTGGTTTAAGTCAAGTGCAGTCTGGGGTTGCTCTGGGCAGAAGGAGGATTATGCACTTATCTCCCTTTCTACTGTGAAACAAGAGGGTCAGCAGAATGATACAGGTGAATAGGAACATATCTGTGCAGGAACAAATATATTCTGAAAGTATAAGCTCAGAAGATTATTCTTCAGAAGATTTGTAGTCCCAGAAAGGTCTGGGGGCAACCCATGTGGTTTAAAGGGTAATCTCTGTGCCCAGAGGTGCCATGTGCCAGCCGACTTCCAGGCAGTACGTGAGCCCACCTGGCCCCCTGGAGTTGGTGCTAACTGGAACTCCCTGGTCAGCCCTCCTGTGATCATCTGCCTTCCCTCTGGGTTCTCCTTTGGCGTGAAATTCATGTTGTGTGGGGCTTCCCAGGTGGCTCAGTGGTAAAGGATCCGCCTGCCAATGCAGGAGACTCAGGTTCAATCCCTGGGTCAGGAAGATCCCCTGAAGAAGGAAATGCCAAGCCACTCCATTGTTCTTACTGGGAGAATTCCACGGATAGTGAAGCCTGGTGGGCTACAGTCCATGGGGTCGCAAAGAGTCGGACACAACGAGCAACTGAGCATGTGTGCCTGTTGTAGAATCTCTCCCCAGAAATGATAGAGGGGACTCATGATTAAGATCTCCCTGGATAAGATCATTGATCTTTTATTTCTGAAAATGAGATGCAGCCTGAATGAAGAACTCTCATCTCTGTTCTGTAGCTCAGTGATTCTCAATCCTAGCCTAGATATTAGAATTATCTAGAGAACTTGAAAATACCAACTGCCAAATGACTTGTCCCCAAATAATTAAATTGAAATAGTTAAGGATGGTGCCTGGCATCAATATTCCTTAAAAATTACTGCAGCGGAATGTGCACTGGGGGTTGAAGACTACTGAGTGGGAGGATGGAGAGGCAGTGAGGGGTCTTGCACTGGTGCTGGTACTCAGTACAGCTTGTATTGCTGCAGCTTACTAGGTGCTTAGTACATACAAGTTTTGTTCTAGGCATTTTCATAGAATGAGACTACCCTCATGTACTCCTTACAGTGAACTGTAAGCTTATTTTGTTTCTATAGATGCGTATATGGAAAACTTTGAGAGGTAAAGCAGTTTATTCAGAGTGGAATGGCACTTTTTGGAGATATTCTCTATTATCAAAGTGAGACTTAACCTGCTCATCTAGGTGCACTGTATCTGGTTTTTCATAGCATTGTTCTAGTAAGTGCACAATCAGTAACTCCTTGGTATTTGGAGTTAACACCTTTGCACATAATACACATGGTCTTTCATTTGTATTAACAATATCAACAATCTTGCTGGGAGGTCTCCACCAGGAAAAGCTAGGTAGGCAGGGTGAGATGTAGAATGTGTTCTCACTTGGCTGGTCCAAAAGTCTGAGATCACTTGATCTAGTGAGGGCATTTCTAAAACCATGAAACCACCAGTAATTTGTTGTCAGTGGTTTTGATATATAGCTCAATCAGTTTTAAGAGCCACAAAACCACTACCAACATCAAGATTGTTGTTGTTCAGTTGCTAAGTCGCGTCTGACTCTTTGCTACGCCATGGACTGCAGCATGCCAGGCTTCCCTGTCCTTCCCTACTTCCTGAATTTGCTCAAATTCATGTCCATTGGGTCAGCGATGCTATCTAACCATCTCGTCCTCTGCCACCTCCTTCTCCTTTTACCTTTAGTCTTTCCCAGCATCAGGGTCTTTTCCAATGAGTCGGCTCTTCACATCAAGCGGTCAGAGTATTGGAGTTTCGGCTTCAACATCAGTCCTTCCAGTGAATATTCAGGGTTGACTTCCTTTAGGATTGACTGGTTTGACCTCCTTACTATCCAAGGAATTCTCAAGAGTCTTCTCCAACACCACAGTTCAAAAGCATCAATTCTTCAGCACTCAGCCATTTTTATGGACCTAGACCAGCAAATAGAGTTCAGAGGGCTGAAGTGTTGCTTCTTCTCAGTAGCCACCCTGCTTCCTCCACCAACCTGAGCAGACTCCACAATCTTGACTTTCTGTAAGAAGTTTATCTATATGCCAGCCCGAGCATGCGATTTCTTGGCAGTTAGGAGATAGGTCCTTCTGAAAGCTTGACTGATGGTGGGAGTGGAACCATGTGGGGTATATACCTTTCTTTCTTTCCCTAACTTGACCACATACTGTAATCTTTGATCCCCAAAGGAAGGACTTGAAACCCAAAAAGGAGGCTGAAATCAGAGCTCTGAAAGTGTGGGTTAAATTCTGGAAAGAAATGAAATGATACACCCCTACAGGACTCCAAAGATTACTTGGATTGGAGACTAGGAAATCGACAGTGGGTGTTCACAGGGCAGTGGAGGTGGGTGACAGGTAAGCATTTGTCCTCTGTCCTGACCCCAGACCCTCATCTGCCTTCCTCACCATTTCTTTTCTATTTGTGTTGTGAGCTCTAAGCTCAGAGGCCCCAGGGCTGGCTGGCGTCTGCCCTCCCTCTTCCACCACTTGACACCCTCCATAGAACCTTCTCTAAGACAGAGCAGCAAGAAGCCTCTTTGATGCCTGGGAGCCTGTTTAGGGAAGCACGTTTTGGTAACAGCACTCATCCTTTGATCTCCACAGCCTACAAGTTACCAACTTTAGGTTTGAAAATCCTGACAATCTCGTTTATTTTGCACTCTGAAAGCATAAGATCCTAGGATGAAAAGCTCTACCTTAAACACAAAAAATAATAACACTTATACCCTAGGAGGATAAAAACTTGCTGTCTCCAGCTAAAGAGATAATTTTTATTCATGTAGCTTTTCATTTCCTTTTCCATACTTCTGTTACAAGTACATGGCCCTTGGAACCTCTATGTTCTAATAAAGCACAGGAACGTAGGTGTAGATGGAAGCTCGGGGAGCCGCTGGCAGCGGGAACAATGAAGTCCATGGATCAGTGCCAGCCCTGATCAGCCCTGGTCCTTTCTTTATGCAGAAGAAGTGATGTCTTATGATGAAGGAGGGAGGGAGGGAAGGATGGAGGAAGGGAGAGAGGGAAAGAAAGATGAGCTGACAAAACAGGGACATTTGACCTGACCCTGAGCAAAGGGGGTGGACAAGAGCTTTTTCTGGTAGAGGAAAGAGACAGTTCAAAAGGTTGCTAGCTGCCAACAGATTCCTGCATCCTGGAGCAGAGGAAAGGCTGTTGTGCTGGTGGCAGGCATGGCAGGAGACAGGGCCTGAGTCATGTAGGGTTAGAGACCATAGTACGGAATTGATTATTTTGTTCTTAGAGAAATAGATTTTAAGCAGAGGGCTAACATGGCCAGATTAATAAGGTTAAAAGATCCCTCTGGTTGCTGTGTGGTAGGGGAGAAAGTTGACAATCAGTGAAGAGAAGGCCTGTTCCTCTCTGGTGGCCCAGAGGGGTTGGTGAGAAGTGGTCTGACTTAAGTAACATTTTGAAAGCGGAGCCAACAGGGCTTGAAAATGGGTTGGTATGGATGGGAGAAGGGAAAGAGATGGATCAAAGCTAACAAAGGCGTTGAAGCCTGTTTTGGAAGGAATGTGTTGTGTAGCCAGGTATAGAAGACAGGAGAAATGGCGATTTGGGGGACATAATAGAAGCAAGTAAAGAGTTCTGTTGGGACTTGCCTGGTGATTCAGTGGTTAAGAATCCACCTTGCAATCGGGCTGGGGAATACATGTAAATCCATGGCTGATTCATGTCAATGTATGGCAAAAGCCACTACAATATTATAAAGTAATTAGCCTCCAACTAATAAAAATAAATGGAAGAAAACAAAGAAGAATCCACCTTGCAATTCAGGGACTCGGGTTTGAACCCTGATCAGGGAACTAAGATCTCACATGCAGGCGAGTGTCTAAGCCCAAACGCTGCAACTACTGAGCCCCTGGGCCGCTGCTAGAGAGCCCATGCTCCGCAACAAGAGATCCCACACGATGCAAAGGAGTCTGCGAACCACCGCTGAGACCTGACCCAGCCAAACAAACAAATGATTAATTAACTTAATTAATTAATAAAAAGTTTTGTTTGGACGGTGAGGTGTGAGATGCCCATAGACATCCAGGCTGAGGTGCTAAAGAGTCAGTGGATACGCATGTCTGGAATCCAAGGTAGCAGTCAGGCATTGAAATCATTCATTTCAGGAGTTCCTGGGCACTTTGGTTTTTACGGAGACTTTCCATATTTTAGAAGCATTTAGCGGGTGGGCTCCCTTTGATTCCTGGGATGAACACCTGGAGAAGATGCTGGAACGTGTTGGGATTCCTCACATTCCCCCTGGGGAAAACACGTTTACATGATGACCAGGCAGGACCCTCTATGACCGTCCTGACCGCTTATGGTGGAATCCCTCTGAGTATGTTGCTAGACTTAGGCAACCATTTTTCTGTATTCTCTTTTGCACATCTTCTTTCCTAAGTCAGGTGTGTATATATAGATCAACTTTCTATTCAAGTACGTTCCCCATGGAGTGCTGCACAATAATTAAGATCTAGCAAATTACGAATCCTGTTCACATTTCAAAGTTTCCTGAAAGTAACCCAGTCACAAGCGTTCCAGTTGTTTGTGTGTGAGTGTCATATACATGAAAATTTGACCCCACTGTCCTTCTGCCTTATACAAACAGCCAGTTAGATTACAGGCATTGTACACATCACGTAGATGGTAAATCAGAAGACTAGGAAGAAACAGGGGTTGGATAATGCCTCAGAAAGAGGGGGAAAAATCTATAAGCCAAACACCACTTATTTATTATGTTTAGATAAATTTCCCCACTTGAACTGTCCCTAGCTTAAACTCTGCTTCCCCTTATTATTCCTACTTTTTAAGTTCCTTTTGCCATCTCCTGAAAAAAAGCACCTTTTATTGACCTTATTCCGTAATCTATTGTCTTCTTTAAGTCTTCTGGCATTTTGAATGTTTCCTACATTTTGCTCTGTTAGAAAGTCTGGTCAACTTCACTTTGCTTCTTAACTCACCGCATCACCAGCTCCCCTACACAATCAAGCAAGGTGCCAGCTGGTAACACTGGTGGTGCCCAGGCTGTGCAAAAGCAGGAGACAGCAACACTCCAGGTGGGCTTTTCAGATGAGCAGATGCCGAGCACCTTCTGGAAAAACCAGTTTCCCTTCCTCTCTGCAGCTTAACAGCTGTGGGACTGTGAGCAAGTTATTGGATTTCTCCAGGCCTCTGTTCTCTTCTCAGTAAATGGGGCTCATTCTAACCCTCCTGTGATATTTGAATGAAGTGAATGAGTACCTATAAAACACTTAGTGGAGTACCTGCTGCCCAGAGGAACTCAGTAAGCTTTAGTTCTTATCAGAACCCCCCTGAGTCTTTCTCTCTCAGGAAACAATAACCACACGCCCTGAAAACACACACATATCACTAAGTGGCTATTAGCAAAGACAAATCAAACTTCGGAAGCAAGCTAGACTGAAAAGATGAAGGGAAATTGATAATCAAGACAAAGTAGAGAAACAATGCAGTGGTTCTCCAAGTGTGGTTTCCGGACCCGTAGCATCACTTGGGAGCTTGGTAGAAATGCAGATTCTCAGAGCTACTGTGGCATTAGTGGTAAAGAACCCACCTGCTAATGCAGTAGACAAAAGAGACGTGGGTTTGATCCCTTGGTTGGGAAGACTGCCTGGAGGAGGGCATGGCAACCCGCTCCAGTATTCTTGCCTGGAGAAATCCCGTGGACAGAGGAGCCTGGCAGGCGACACTCCATAGGGTCACAAAGAGCTGGACATGACTAAAGCGACTTAGCATGCGCATAGGCACTGAATCAGAACTCTGAGGGTGGGGTCGGGCAGTCTCAGTGTTAGCAGCCTCTGCAGGTAATTCTGATGCATGTTGAAGCGGGAGAGCCACTGGTCTAAAGTAAACCTAGCAGATATTGGGTGGGGAATAATGGTCCATGTCTGTACATACACACCATTGTTGGTAGAATGTTTGTAGCTGCTGAAGCTATTAACCAAGCTTGGTAGTATCAGCAAAATCTCACCAAATTGGAGATTAATTACCCATTTTCCTTTGGTACTGTTGTCCGAATAGAAATATAACTAAAGTACTTATTTTCCATGACTTTGCCTTAATTCATTTGGGGTTGAAAACTATGAAGCCATCAACTTTTTCTTCTTTTTTTTCTAGGAAATTCCACTTACTTGGATGACCATGGACCACCTCCTAGTAAGGTAAGATCTTTGCTTATGCTATAAATCCCCTTTTCCTTCTCTCAGTACCTACAGCCCCAACCACATCCCTCCTGGCCCGGAATTGTTCGATAGTAGGTGTGGGCGTCAAGTTCATCTTTGATTAATAGTGAGTAGAAAAAGGAAGCATGCAAAGAATATAAAAATGGGTAAAAATAGTGTTGGTATGTTAACATCTTTTCACCCATGTTTCTTACTTCTAGCAGGATGGAAATGAATCCCAGAATTGATGAGGCCAGGGTTCCAGATAAAGGTCCCTTGAGTGTCCCCTGAGGGAGCAGGAGGCAATGTTTATTTCATCAGTAGCTGTAGCTATCCCAGGCAGGGGAACCTCAGGGCTGAGTTCGGACTTCTGACTGCTTCTCCTGGTTGCTGCCTCCTTTGCCTCTGTATCCTTGCTGGACCATGATGTGGTGTCCACAACCCAGCCCCCTCATGCCTTCAGGCCTTGGGCCAGATCATGTCTGCCCCTTCCTCTGTGGCCTGCCTTTCCTGGGTTACTCCACTCAGGGTTCAGTCCCCTGGAACCAGCCTTCTCCGCCAGTGTCCTTTCAAGGCCGGCCTGGCCTGGCTGGCACAACCACTTCTGCTCTTAGAAGCAATATTGGTATGATGTCTAAGGGTCAGAACTATCCAGTGAAGTGTAGTTCCCCACAACTATCTACTTTCTTAACCTCAGTGAAAACCAAATATCAATCTACCAAAAAAGGAGAAAAATAAAGATTCTCTTTGACCACTTAAGGTGATGTCACCAAAGTGCAGTTGTAAGTACATAGTGAGAAAATAATCAAGCACTCACCTTAGAGGAGGGAAATGTACCATAAAAATCTGAAGAAGAACTCTACCATGCTTAAGACCACAAGCTTTGGAATAAGGTATTTCTGGGTTCATCTTGAGTTCTAACGCTATCAGCATATGACATTGAACAGATAACTTGATATGTCAAGCCTCAATTTTTTTTGATGTGCAAAGTGGGTTAAAAATATGACCCATGGTAAGGGCATCTAAAAGCATTGAACGAGTTGATATATGACAAGCCCTCAGCACCTAGCACGTGAGAAGCGTTAAATAAATGGTAGCTAGTGTTAACTAGACTGGAATACCATTAAGATTGTTGATGAATGGTACAGTGATGTTTATCATAGTGGTGAATGGCTTATCACTTGGTCCACTGCGTATATACTGAATGCCTATGATGCTGCAGGCACTGGGAATACAGATATGAAACAAACCAAGAACAATGACAAGGCAGTTCCTACCCTGGAGAAACAAAGGAATATAGAGGATTAGACACCATCTGAGAATAAGGACTGCATCTAGCTTTATCTCAGTATCCTCACATCCTTGCGTTTAGCCTCGATGCACAGAGAGGCGCATCCTGACTATTCATTAATTTTCACTGAACTGGACCACGGGCTCCAGAGCTGGAATCTGAATTAGGTCTCCTGGCTCCCATCCCAGGTTCTTTCCACTCGGCCAGGATTCTCAAACTTTAGCTTGCATCAGGATTTCCTGGAGGCTTGTTAAAACACGGATTGCCAGGCCCAGACCCCTAAGAGTCTGATGCAGTAGGTCGAGGGTGGGACGTGAGAATTTGCATCTTTAACCAGTTCCTGAGCGATGGTGAATACTGCACGTCTGGGGACAAAATTTGAGATCCATTGCTCTAAAACCATGAATATCAAGAAAGTCGGTTCCCTGGACACTTTCTATTTTGTTTTTACTGCCAATAGCCTAGAGAGTGGCATGGCTTCTTGCATAAAGGCTATTAATTAATAATGATGACTCACCATTGTAACCCTTCTTGTGGTGAAAACATATTTTCTTTGGTCAATAACTTGCCCCGGAGGGAGAATAAGTGGGAGTGGGGAAGGATGGTGTGGACAGCCTGCTAGGTTCCTTTACCCCTTAACTGTGTTTCTCTCCTAAGTTGGGCCAAGCCCCACCTCCAACTCCCTCCTCTCTGCAGGAAAGGGGGCTAGGTGACTCAGCATGTGGGGTCTCTTAACTGTGAGTGGCATTTCAGGCCATTACTTTGGGCTCCAGGTCTGATAACCAGGATTTTACTTGGTCAGAAGACCCAGGCCCACTTCCCATAAGCTTGCCTTCCGGAGCTCAGTCCTTGGTGACTGACCTGGAACTACTCCTTTATCCTGTCTGGGGGCCTTGCTCTTGCCAAGCTGGCCATCTTGCCGACTTCTTTGCTAGTCTGGTGGTGCCTGGATTCTGTATTTGCTGGGCTCTCACCCCTTGAGCCCACAGGGCTTTCCCTGGCTCTGCATTCTCCGCTTCCTACAATCTAATCTTCACCCCTCTCTTCTGCCACTCCCAACCAAGAGTTACCCAAGATGCGCAGGTCATATCAGGCCATTTTAAGTCATTTTCAGAATAAATCCAGTTTTATAAACTCCACTCAAGTTTTAAAATTGTGAGTATGATCTCTTTCAGCTAGCAGAGATTATAGGTAATGCAGCAGAGATTATATAATACAGATTCTTTCACTATAACTGTATTTTCATTATCTAGGAATGGAGTAGCAAAAACCCTCTTCACTTTCTAAGCAGTAGCTGAAATAAGAAAAATGAGTAAAAATAATATTGGTACATTAACATCTATTCATCCGTGCTTATTACTTCTGGCAGGGTCGAAATGAACCCCAGAAGTGATGAGGTTAGAGTTCCAGATAAGGGTCCCTTGAGTGTCCCCCGAGGTGAGGCCTGAGTTATTTAAGTCTGCAGACCCCTGGTGTATTCAGGGACACGGTGGTATCAGGGAATAAGGACTCACACATGTGTGGCCTCTGGAGTGAACCCCCAGCCTGGCAGTAGGAAGCACGACTGAGTCCAGATCCACAGTTTTCATATTTGTTTAGCACTCAGAAATAACTTTTTGATGCCAAGACTGAAAGAGCTGTGATCTAGATAAAATAGGATTTTGAAACCCTGAAAATGGACTGAGGTTTACAGGCGAGTTCTCATTTTATGCAAGTTCAGTTCCACAAGTTTCGCATTCCACAAGTAATTACCATTTAGGAATTGGGGTGTGTGCCACACAGATCATCCAGGACCCAAAGCTTCATTCTCTCCAGTTTTTTCATAAAAAAGAACCAAATGCCTCTGACTTTTACTTGTTTTTCAAATCCACTTTAACCTCCCAGTTTTTGATCTGAGTCATTATTCAAAGGCAGATGTTAATGTTTTCTTTTGTCGACTGCTTTTTATGACCGCTTTGTGTGTACACAGAATTTAGTGGTTTAAGGTTAGAGCCCTACTGAGACTGAACATGGAGCTTTCTGTTGAATGAACTAGAAAGATACTTTTGAGTACAAAAACAGGTGTGACACAACAGTGTAGTGTGATCCCACATCTTAAAACACGTATGCATACGTCTGTGTGTACACAGAGAGAAGCCTGGGAGAATAAAGATGTTTAGTCCGGATGGTGAGATTTTTAGGAGGTTTTTTAATTCATCTCCTTATTTTTTGTATAAATTTGAGTTCATTGAAGTGATGCTTGCTCAGCCTAAAAATTGATTGGGGCTGGGGGAATGCCACCACCTCCACCCCACCAATCCCACCAAAGGTGGTATGAGCTGCTGGCATTGGCAATGATAAACTCTGGAGGTAGCAAATAGGATACAGATATTATTTCACATATGTTGGGTTCCCAAATCGGATAGATAAGGAGAGCTGATAAAATAGGATACAGATATTATTTCACATATGTTGGGTTCCCAAATCGGATAGATGGGAGAGCTGATCTAAGCAACTCAAGAAAAATAAAATCTCTATCCATCACTGATGTCTATCATTTCTTATGTGCCAAGCACTCTGCTAGGCACTTTGCATGGAAGTTTAGTCTCTATAAAGCTTATAGGCTTCCCTGGTGGCTCCATGGTAAAGAGTCCACCTGCCAATGCAGGAGATGCAGGTTTGATCTCTGGGTTGGGAAGATCCCACATGCTGCGGAGCAACTAAGGCTGTGTGCTACAACTCTTGAGCCTGTGCTCTGGAGCCCGGAACCACAACTCCTGAGCCCACATGCCACAACTACCATAGCCTGTGTGTCCTAGAGTCCATGCTCTGCAACAAGCGAAACCACGCAATGAGAAGCCCTCACACTGCACCTAGGGAGTAGCCCCCACTTGCCACAACTAGAAAACGCCCTTGCAGCAACAGGCTCAGCACAACCAAGAATAAATAAATAAATAAAATATTAAAAATTAGAAAGAAATCCATAGAAGGGACTTCCCTGGTGGTCCAGTGGTTAAGACTTCACCTTGCAATGCAGGGGTTGCGGGTTCAATCCCTGATTGGGAGCTAAGATTCCACAAGCCTTGTGGCCACAAAACCAAAGCATAAAAGAGAACCAATATTGTAACAAATTCAAGAAAAAACTTAAATAGTCCACATTAGAAAAAAAAAATCTTTAAAAGCTCTGAAGAAGAGTAGTTCTTTAATCCTTATTTTGCAGATGAGGGAACTGGATCTTAGGGAGGCTGAAAAACTTGCCAGAGGGATGCACTAAGGATTGGACTTGTGATTCTGGCCCAGAACTGTGTCTGTAACTCCAGGGTTCACACTTTTAACCATTCCAAGATGAGTAATTTAATATAAAGACTAGTTTTTTTTACCTTATTTCTGGAGGTTTACCCTTTTATTATATATAAGTTCTCCGGCATTTTAACTAATACGATAAACAATCTTCAACTCTCAGTATACCAGAAAAATAGTCATCACCATTTATTATCGAGTCCAATGGAACTTTTAAAAATATCAATCCAGTGAATATTTCTCTTCTTTTTCCTTCCAGTCACCTTTGTATACATGCCCACCATCAGCATTTGTTCATTTACATACTGTATATAGAGTAAATTTTGGTATACAGACATTATAAAAGGTGAAAAAAGACTGTCTCATTTTCATTTAGTAAAATGGGATGGTCTAGGTTTTTTTTAAGCCTTTTATTTTGTATTGGGGTATA